AATACCTGGAAATTAATTTTTGTATTTCATAATTTCTCACATTTTTAAGAAAAATAACACTATTTTGTAGTCAATGCTACTATAGATTAATATCGGCAAACGACAACCCGAAAAATAACAATTAAAGCGGCCATCGTTCGTTACTAGTGACACATTAGAGTAACAGTTATATTGCAAACTTTCAAATTTCTCCCAGATTCGGAATTTTTTAAATTATAACTAACGAAGTTACCTCTGTTAAACTTGAGTCTATTTCATTGATACAGCGAATTCAGCTTAAATTTTTAAAAATCATTAATATTGAAAATATTAGTCTACAATAATATTGTATCTAATTACGCATAGCATAATCAAATACTAAACATTTTTCCGGCATTCCATTTCACTATTGACATTTGTATTACCTATGTAAGTTCCCGAACTATATCAAAATCATAACACATTATCTTTTTCTTTCCACGTGAAAAACCTTGGACTATAAACGCAATTTAAAATTTGTCCGTGGAGGCAAATGTCCTATTAACTATTTCAAAGGTTTATATAAGAGTGGGAAACTTTTTCACTTTATCTTTTCGAGTTTTCTTCTCTCCCTCAACAAAAAAACACACGGTATATTTATGAAAGCTACGAATGGACCTTAAGTCTTCACAGATTCATGTAAACTACGCTAATGGATATATACTTAATAAACTTATGATTTAAACCCGTGATCAGTAAGCGAAATACACGTTAATTTGATGTATTCCTATTTATAATGTTTAATAAAATATAATAATAATCTCAGTGAAAGCGCAAGCTATTGTCAGTCGTTGTTTTTCTGACTGCAGAAATGCATACAATAAAAGAATAGTTTTTAATTACTATAAATAAAGAATTAAGCAAAAACAATGAACATGTTTTATTCCTTTTATATTAATTAAAAATTATATTGATAAAATTAGATGAATAATTAAAACATTAATAAAAAAGTGGATTCTCTTTACTGTATATCTATCCGCGCGATGAATTAACATGCGTTTACTACCAAACCCGCTTTTGATACTTCGCCGGCGTCGTGTTATCAATAAAACCTCTAAAATGACTATTTAAGAAATAACGAGTACATTTATTAATGAGCTGATAAAGAGCACGACTTTTTCATTCGAGACGCTTTACAGGTGTGTTTATTGCGTAACTAGTGTTCGTCAATCGCGCACGTTTTCACGGTTTTTGCGTATGTGTTATTGTAATAAATCTCGTGTTTTAATCGTTTACAAAGTAAATATATCAACAGGAATTATAATTTTAGTAATATTCGGATTCGTCTAATCTTGAAATCTAACTTTTAAGGTACGTAGTAAAACAACGTATAAAAAATGTATTAGTATTATACCCTTGACTTCTGTTGGATTTGTCATCTACGCATACCGTCGATACTTTATACTTGTTCCAAGCGATATTGCAAAAAATGTGTGTGATAAATATACTTTATTTTTGCCTTAGAAATTGACAACAAAGAAAAATAAACTATTTAATATATTTTTGTATGATTAATTAACATTCAAGCTTCTTTTTCATAAGAATATCAGGATTTTTTTATCAATAATAAAATTGTTTAACATTCTAATACATTAAAAATGCATATAGCAATTTAAAAAAGTTTATACCCTTATAAAGGATAAGGTATAGACCTAAAAGATATATAGCCACTTATAAATCGACAAATAAATTTTACTGAATGAAGACTGGTCGTTTATTTATTATATTATTATTATTATTTAAGAGAAAATGCAGTCATTGATAAATCCATAACTATGCATATATTAGGAAAACCGAATAAATTAAATAAAGTAATTTATTTAAATAGTTATACTTATAAATTATCATTAACACATAAAACATACTAATAAAAGACTTGTAATATAAATTAGTAGTCATAAAACCATGTATAGAAAATAATATTTACTATATATGACTAATAACTTTTTTCACTTTTTTATTACATAACATACCTTTCAACAAGATTTAAAAAATAGTGGTCTAATCTATTATGTATATTGACGAAATTTAAGGAATTTTTTTTTATAAATGGTGCACGTCATCAGTTATAGTCAAATGATATAAGATTATATCAATAGAAATTTAGCGCAATATCTACATGATTAATGTAATAATTAAAACTAAAATTATCCATTAATAATATTATTATATTATTAATTATTAGTGAAATGTTGCCATATTATTAATAAACAGTAAAAAAGCTTAATAAACTAAACTAATATTGTGTTTTAAGCGTTTTAAACGTTTTATAAATAAAATGTTTAAAACATTTTACGACTTAATTGTAGAAGTTGATCACATACTTAAAAGATAATTATTATCTCGGTACTGTTCATTAAAATATCGTTGTGAAACGTTTTTTTTCAAATCCATTTTTTTATAATAGAGAATATTTCTACTTAGTTTTTCTAGTAGATATTTTAATTAATTTTTGTAGAATTATTTTTCACTGTTCTATTTGTTCTTTACTTTGAATCAATTAATAATTTTAAGTCACAACTTATTAAAAAATATTCAATAAAATTTAAATAAATACAATGTATTCGGGAAAATAATGAATCATTCGTTTTTTTTTTACTTTGATTTAGATAACATGTAATCATGTAAAAAATTTTCACTACTCTGCGATTTCTTTTTTAGACGATATTAACTAAGTAATAGCAAATGACATTTATTATAATTGTTACATCAATATACAAAATGTTCAATAAGTAAGGATTTCTATTGTTCTCATTGATTATAACAATTGACTAGTTTCCTTACTTACTGAAGTCTATATAATTTAGTATATATATAACTAATGTTTTTCATATCTGATTGTTATATCTCCTTTAGGTTTGATGTATCTGATACGGGTGAGCAGTATAATTATTTGAATAGACGAAATATCAATAAAGGTTTTTAGACTTCGGTTTATCCCGTTATGATTCATTTATCAAATTTAAGTGCGATCAGATCTTTAGTCAACAAATTCATTTATTTCATATACGGGTTACGCTCACAACTATTTAGGCCAAATTAAATTTTCGTTACTTTATGTCAAAAATTACAATATTTGTATGTAAAAGTGACGTGTATATTAAAATTATTATAATGAAATATGGGATTTTTTTAATTATATATTACAATGTAGTAACTACATAAACAACACATACTACATCTGTTGTATTAGTGATTTAAATTTGCTTATGAAATCTAAATTTTAGTTACCCATCTACATCATAGAAATATAAAGGTATATTTAGGAGAGGGTGATGAGAGGACGTTCATTTCTTCTGTGGATACACTGGATTAAGGGATCTACTTTACTTCTATTGTATAGATTTCCTAGAGCATCCCTTAAATAGTTGTAAATATATATACCGTAGCTACTTAAATTTTTTAGAAAAACATATGAATTGTTATATAAAAATATTTTTTAAAGTGAGGGAAGAATCAATTTAACCCCCAATTTTATTCTTAAATTGACCCCTTATAACCAAAATTAATCGTGTTTATTAATGAACATGTTTTCAAACAGTGATGTAAATAATCGGTTAAATAATAATAAAGCTATATTGACATAGCTCTAATTTTTTTCATTTACTCTCTTTAAAAAATAAAATTATATAAAAACATTTTGAAAGAGGGGACAAATTAAGCTATATTCACTAATCATGTTTTTAATTTGCGCCTATGTATAACTATGAGGAAAACCAAATTATTTCATATATTTAAATATGATTATTATACAATACTTTTTGTTATTTAATGGTGCTTGACATCGGTATGATTAGATCAGTTAATCCCCAAACAGCAAATGATAAGTAAACCGTGGGAACATTACACTATATTAGTATTTATATGACTGTGAAATTCTGTTTATCATTATAATGTTACATAAGATTCAAAAGAATACAAAACACTTCAAACATTTTAATGTGAAGTTGATAACTCTGTTGGTTAACTAGTTAACTTTTTATGTATTGAAGTTATTTAGATCCTAAAAGATAAATTTGGAAGTAACAAACTTTAGCCTATTTTATGATATTTTTTCCATAGTGAGAATAAAATATTTTTTATTTTAATTACTGCACTAAATATTTAATCGATTAATGTATATGAAAAGAGATGTTTAAACTTGTTATTATTTGTTCAATTAGACTTTGACAAAGTAATTCAATTATTATTTGTAATTCATTCATAATTAAACTTATTAATCTTAACAGATTATTGATATTGCTACAATAAAAAAATAATGAAATTTAATGATTCAAAATTTATCCAATGCATAATTCTTAACTTATAAATATCATAAAATAACTTTAGTTCTTAGAAAGTTTCTTGGTGATTAAAAACTTTCATAGTGTATATCTTTGCATTCGTTTTACGCTTAAAAAGATCTAGAAAATATTAGAATTATGCTAAATATTAATTTTTTTTTAACAACTACCAGTGATGCATATTATTTTATATTTTTATAACAGTTATACTTTCACTAAGATAGTCTACATTATAGTTCAGATAGAGGCGTCATTTCAGATTATACTAGACTAAAACAAAGTTTTGACTGGCCAATCATTCCACAAAATTAATTGCTATTCACCCTTCATGGTATAACCACTAAATTGATATTATAAAAAAAAATCATTTTCAAAAAATATGACTATATGATTTTTGTTTTTTTTTTTTTAATTTTAACATTAATAAAATATAATTTTTAATGTTTATTATAGTTTGAAAGATGGAGTTTTATAACATAACAAAGCAGTTAAAAAATAAATAAACTTTATTTATTAGTATTATAAAAACTATAACTATTAAATGTAATAAAAGTATAAATAAGATAGTGATGCTATATCAAAATATTAAAGAATTTAAAAAGAATTATTCTATTTTTAGGAGGATACTATCGTTATTCGAATTATTATAACATTAAAACAAATAGTTTTTCTAATAAAAGTAAACCAACTTGTGCTGAACTAAAATTTATTGTACGTTTGCAATTTAATTCTTTTTGAATTTCAAACAAATAAAATCTCTTCCAAAAAAAACAATTTCTATGAGAATATTTTTCCATTGTAATTCGGAGTAATACGGGTAGGATAAAGATTGCAACTTATTTAACAGACTTTCACCGGAAATTCCTCAGCTACACTTCTTTAATTCTTGTTATCACGTCTTCTTTTGTAAAGTTTCGTATGTCCTTTATTTTGTGTGTCGTGTATTTTATTCATAATGTATTAAATTAATGCACTGTAAATAAATAGTATATACTATTAACTATGAATACCAAATATGGTTTTCAATGTTGAATTCTAAATAAAACCCTAGATAAGTTCTACTTGGGTAGTTTTAACTCTTTTGTAAATGCTTATGACATTAACTCAAATAATACAGTATTCTTTTTAACGTTATCTATTTATCTTTTTTGCTTTATAGAGCCATAATTAAAAGAGTTTATTAACAATTTTTATAGTATTTCTTTTGAAATTTAATGTTGGATACATTTACTTTAGACTATATCTCTCGTCTTTTTAAAAGGTCTAAAAATAGATCTTCTACTCTTTCCAAAATATAATTTTTTTATCCCTCCACTTTCACCGAATTATGAGTATTTGATTATTTATCTATCTATAGGTACTTATAGTCATTATACGAACTTACATAATTACAAGATACAATGACCGATTTTCAACATTTTTCTGGAGGAGATCCTAATTAAATTTTCTAGAAATAGGTATCAGAGTCTTATTACATATTAAATGACAAAAAAATTAATTTTGAATAAATATGATTTTTTGCATAATTAAGTATAAAAACGAATTCTATAATACTATTATTTGTGGAGATATGTATAGATTAATTTAGAAAAAACATTATAAAAAAATATTATACAAATATTTAAAAAATAACGGACTTATATTGTATTAGCACTAATTCCTTCAATTATTATTCTATTAATATTTTAATTTCAAATTGAATACAAGTAAAAAGGTATTTTTATATAATATGAAAACTCTATAATATATTATGCTATACAAACATTATGTGTTAAACATTTTATTTTAATTTGTTTTCAATTTTAAAAATATTTTTATTTATTAATTAGTTAATTGGTATTAATAAGTTAATTTTTAGTTAAATTATTCAAACATTTTTCAACTTATGTAGTAGAACTTAAAAGTATCTAGTCAAAAAAACGGTTAATTTGTTTTAGATTTTTGTGTCATAATCGATCTAAAGTTGGGCTAATGAGAAAACTTTTTGATAATTTTCGTATTTCCGTTAAACACGAAAAATTATTGTTTTGGTCAGCAAACCATGTGCACAAATTGCAACTAAAAGAGATTTTAGCGCGTGCTCTCGTATGCGTTCGTTTATGTAAAATGACGCCACCTTGTCTGTGTCTATCGTTTGGTTTAGTCCCAATGAGCGCACACGCCAAACTAATAATAAAAATGATAATATGATAATGATATAATCGCTGAGCACGTTGATGAAAACAAGTGTGAGACGCCTTCTCGTTTTACACGCAAATAATTGTTCATTATTTTATCGTTCGTCTGCCTGTATTAATATTACGCAGATAATAATTATGTTAAAACTACAAAATACCAATACGGCGAATGGCTGTGATGGTCGTTGACTTTAATTACGTTCCAGTCACAATCTCATTGTGATGTACTGATGGTGAAGATACAAAAATGCGCAGACAGAGCAGTTATGTGTTTTTGTCTATTCAAGCGATATTTTTTTTCTACGAGACGTCGTTTGGAGTGTAGAAGTTAATGGTAAGGTGGGTAGGTGGAGGTGAGAAAACACACCGGCAGAATATTGCTTTAGAAAAATGTTGAAAATCGCAATAATTCAATGGTCAATTTAAATATAATTGGTCTTAGTCGGATTATGCGTGTGGTCGGCCACCGGCACACAGTGGCCTTGTTCTTTACTCAATAATAGTAATGAATTTTTACTCGATGTGTGTGTGTGTAATAGTTTGTTTTTTATTTTTTTGGCTGGCCGTTCCGACTTCCGAAAACGATAAACTCGATGATGTGATGCGGACCGGTTTTTAATATTTATTAGAAGTAGACTAAAAAACGTTAACCTTCAAAACAATTGTCAGTACGTTAACATTGTGAATATTGTTCTTACTGTACTTTGAGACACATTCCAAGCACGTTAATGCACACGCATTTCGTACAGTCTGAGAGTAAGGTCGGTGCGGGAGTTTCCATTTTGCTCATTACACTGTAAAATTAAAAAACAATGATTCACCTGCACTGTGCTGCCTCACTCATCTCACACCACTGTCCACTCACACTTTCACTATTTATTTAGATTTGTAACCCACTTTTCTTGACGTCATACATCTAGATAAACTATTTCATCATACCGGCAACTTGAGATTTTCCTAAATTTTTGATAGAGTTCCATTCTTCCTTTCATTAGAAATTTGCAGTATAATATTATTGAACATTATACCATCACCAAGGTTGTAGGTTATACGTTATGGCTTTAACTATGGATTACATTAAACAAACAATAACTTTTAATGACTGTTCGGAATCATTCAAATTTTAAAGATTTCAGGATCAAAAACGTGCAGAACATCAGGCTGCATATTCAAAACGTTATTAAAATTACACGAGTATTTACGTGTATTTAAAAGAAAATTCAACCCTAAAATTATATTAGATTTTGCGAATCGAACATAATGTGAAAGGTTATCTAAATACATTCAAAATTGTATTTTTACTTGGGCGCTTTGAAAAACATTTTTTACTATTCCTTAGCCATTTAACAGTTGACTAGGTCAGTAATGTATGTTTAAATCTGTTAGGAAACCATTGATGACCATGTCAATATATCCTCCGTTACAAGAGAACGTGACACGAAGCTGTACATTCAGTTTTGCAGTATCTTTGTTTTCCAAAAACTAAGGTTTTACGATACAAAAATCAGTCGCTTCATATCATACGTTTCTTGGAAACCATTAAAAGCTATGGAAGTATAAGCATCGTGTTATTTTATAGGTAAGCTAAAAATACATTGTTTATATACATATAATCTATTAAACATAGTCCTTATTATACAAGTTTCAAAACATGCAAAACCCATACAATGTCACGGAATACCAAGTTGTGTACAACAAATAAATTTTCCTCTTTCAAATTTCTTTCACCGAGAACGAGCGTCTTATGCAAAACTTCTATAAATTCTTAGTACATTATCTATCTTTTTAAATTAAAGCGATTAAACACTTTCTATGGATACCGAATGGATGCTGTAGTACAAATAATGCAATATATTTGCGTCTAAAAGATTAATACCTGAATACTTAATAGGGACCATATCATTCAATGTTGCTGATTATAGTCCATTTATTATATTTATATTAGCAGATCAATATTAAAATAAGATGAATCAAAAATACATATTATTTGACTCAATAATGATTCATTTCAAATTTCAAAAACAAAGACAATTATCTAATGAATTACCATTTTCAAATATTATTAAATTTTAAATGCAACAGGTTCAAAAAACCATTTAACGCTCAAGTGTTAATAAATAACTAATACTAATGAAATAATATTGTCATACATATATATAATAAATTAAGAAATAGAAAGATATAAAATAATATAGGAAGTTTACTGTAATACAATAATTTTTAAAATTAGAAATGTAAAATTCCGTGTTTTATTAATATTGGACTGAAGTCATGCATAAAAAAATAATATAAACAAATTGAGAATAATTTTGCGATTATCACATCATAATTCAACGTTATTGTAAAAAATTACTGTAGTTGAATGTAAAATTGATAATATTATTTTGTCAAGCCATACGAATGATACACAACTGATTTATTTAAAAAAAAATTTAATTGATCTACACCTAATATTACTAATGGATGCGTTTTGATGTTATAACAGTTCTGATTGTTTAATATTAAAAAAATTTATCATTAAATAATATCTCATTAGTCTTTGACGACCGATAAATTCAAAATAACATTGATTTTAGTTTAATTGGAATGAATATGATTGTACTGTATAGTTTCATCAATACAAGGCTAAAAAAACGATAAAATATTTTTATAAGTGACTAGCTACATACTTCCGTCCAAATTGCCAGCTAATTATCATTTAATTATTAAGACCATTAGAGAGTTTAACAGTAACATGAATAATATTGCAATGAACTATTGTGTTATATATTTTTAAAACTTAACAAAATGTACAAACTCGTTTAAATTGTACACATAAACTTCAAATGTTATTGACTAATTTTCTTATTTTAGACACCAAAATGATCCAGGTACAATTTCAGGGTTTATTCGTGAATGATTATTAATATGGAGTAAAAAAGAAATGTTATTAAAACACTAATATGGGGTTTACGAATAGGGTCTTCCGCGCCGCCCTCTGACTTGCGTGGAACTAGTGAGTTTAATCATCATTTTGCGCCTATTAGCCACTTTGAAATTATACATATTACCCCATAAAATAAGGAGGGGTTTTAGGTCCCGCAAAAGTATTTACTAATTGCGCCTATGTACTTAAAAAAAAATTTACAAACTTTCACACACATATATTGGAAGCTTTAAACGTATACAATATAACGAAAATTTTTGATAAAGTGTTATAAAATGTCTATATTTGTTTACAAGTATTTGATACTTTATGATAAAATTATAATATTTATCATTAAATTTAACGTAAATATTAAAAATATCATACTGAATTATAGGAATTTTTGGATTATTTTTTATAGTATGTATCTGTGTTTATTCTAAAAATGAAACTTACAAGAATACAGCATTATATTATTGGCAATATTTGAAAAGTATAGTCCATATGAACTGCATTCCTAACTTAATTCTGTTTCAAATTATTGTTTTTATTATTAAAAAATATTAGTACGCAATTTTAGGTATATTGATAGACGTTTGTATAATATACAATTCTTTAATATTATATTGTAATACATTATGTCTCAAAAATAAAATATATATTTCCTTCTTTCGAAATTTGGAGCATTTTATACTAAATAAAAATATTTTAAAAATTCTAAATTAAAAATTTTTTTTCTATATTTTGTTTGTCATACAAATCGATTTTAAACGTAAATATAAAAGTATTTACACAAATAGAACACAAAAAAAAAACACTCGAAATAAATATCTAGAATTTACTAATTTATTAATTACACTTTTAAAAACATCATAATGTCAAATCTAATTTCAATTCGTCGACTGTAGTAATCGTAGAAAAAAGACAATGTGTTATTTATAAGGGTCACGTCATAAGTATATTAAATGTACTAATAGTATTTTGATAGGGTAATTGGAATAACATTTTGTATATATTTTGTTATTCAAATAGATGTAATAGGTCTTCATTTATAGAGATAATCATACACTTAGTACTTAAATTATTCTATATTAACACTAGGAAGCCTTATAAAAACTTCAGTAATTTTATGTATTAAAATTTCACCTTTAAATGAATTGAAAAAAAATATGTAGCACGTTCTATGACGTTTATGTTATAAGTGTAAATATTAATTATTGGCGACTATTGGCTAGGTTATTAAAATATTTCTGCTGGACATCTACTCACGTTAATAAATGTCTAGCAGTTAACGTTAAAATATTTTAATTTAAAATATAAGGTGTAAAAATGTTGCAATAAATTTGAGATTGTATTTATTTGAAAACTCTATACATTGTTACGGATATAAATTTAAATTATTGTCAATCATAATTGCTAAGAATTCTTACCAGCCCGACTAATCATCTATTGTGAACAAAAATTGTGTTTTAACCACAAACATAAATTAACATCATCTTATTTTCTTTCGAAGATTGTTGAGCTCACCGATAAAAGTTTTTATTATAAAAAACTGTTTTTATGTGAACCTAAAAACAAAAGACATGTGTACCTATTTGTATTAGATCAAATAATTGTTTCCAATTTTATTAATATCATCAATTAATTTACTCAATCAATACAGACATTAAATAAATAAATCTGTAAGCTATAAATTAAATAAATTAATCTGTATTTAAAAAATATTTTTATAATAACAAAAAACATTATTTGTCATCAGCAATTTAGATTTTATATACTTTATTATAATGTATACTTTACCTTCTCTTCTCAGTAAAAGAAACTTCTTTTTACACAAAAATGGTAAACAAATTATTCGAATAAGGAAAATAATCGTTGTGTGTCGTGTTATAACATCATTTTTAAACATTGAACAATGTATCCGGACTAAAGTTGCTAAAGAGAAACTTATTTTTTTTAATCCAATTGCTATATAAATTGTATTTATATTTTTGACACTCGTAGGAATTTTATTCAAACTAGCTACGAATAATGATTAGATTAAACAAATAGACAAATATTACTCTATCAGTTCTAGAACCTAATGTTTGCGTATAACTTATGACAATATTATGATGGTTACTATGGTTTAAAATATTCAGTATAATTTGTGATTATGAATGACAATTGTATGAGCTCAACTCATTGAGCTATAATAAACGTATGCGCTATGGAAAAGAGTATATGATTATTTAAATAACAACTTACAAAAAATATCTAAAATAAAGACTATCATATGTATTAAGCAATGTATTCTTTCATTGTGTATGTATTAAAATTACACGCAACACAAATAAAATAGTTAGGTAAAAAATTATACACGATACCGTTAGATTTAAAAATTTAGTTACATGTCTTCATGTCATAAGAGTAGTAATAGAAAGTTGTTTGAAATTTCATTTGACATTCACGGTTTGGCCTTCTAGTTAAATAGTCAAGTTGAGTATGTTGCAGTTGCTGCTGCAACTATGAAAGTCTAAAATTCAAAATTGGCTTATTTTTTTGGCTGCATTGTGGTGGTGATCGACTAACTACGATCAATAAGGAATCCCCAAGGCTGTCACTTAAGCTTGTTATGTTAAAAAAGGTATACATGACATAATATATTTAGATGAAAGCCGGTCACTAGTATGGCCGTCAATTCCATCAGGCTGTAGTTGTCACATGTTTTGATCAGCGGAGGATGTTAAAAAATACCTACCGCCGCTATCAAAGTAAACAAACTTAAACGACCTTGTGACGTCACTCCGAACGACGTGTACTCACTTCAACGCAAACGTACTATAACGTAAATCGTACGCGTGCGCTAGTATTACACTTTTTCAATACTAATATCCTGATGATAATTAAAGCAAGTATTACAAGTGTTCAAGTAGTTCTTCAGACTTATAGTATTTTTCGTCAGTTTACTTATAACGTGTTAAATGATGTGTCATTTCAGTACTACGACTTATACAAACTGTCACCCACATAATGTCCTAAAAAAATTGTTAAAATCCCAGCGGTCACAAGTGTGTTATTTTCAAGGTTCTTCGTAGATGAAACGATTTTCGATAAAATCCAAGAGTATTTATATTAAAAACAGACAATTTTGATCAAGTAACTATATAATAAGAATTGATCAAACTTGTGTTTAATATTATTTAAAATTAAAAATATATTTTTAAGTATGAACTTAAAAATATTTAATCAAAAAGCTATAAAATGTTGTGTATACATATTTCGGGAACAATGTTACCATCATCAATGTTAATGAAATACTGATATCCCGAAAGAAAAATACTCCCTTATATGCTCCTAGTGACGTTATCAGTAAGAAATGTATTCACCAAATCGATTGTTACATTTTGCAAGTTTACAGAAGTTCAAAAATGAATTTCTCAATATTCCAATATCCCAATCAATTAAATTATTATTATTTCTAAACATTTCTGTTATCTTCCTGTATTGAATTCTGTGTAATTATTTACGTTTTCAATTATTTTTATGGTTTTATTGGAGTTATTATGTGTCAATAAATGTTCAATTTCATGATTTTTAATGTTTCTTAAGTGTTCTTTAATCCTGACCTCTGTACTTCGTTTCGTTTGTAATACGTAACATTTATTAAAACTATCACATTGTATTTTATAAATTTCAGATTTTTACCCTTCTTTTACTTAATATTTGAGTTACCTAATAAATCCCCTAATTTATTACTCTTAGATGTTTAAAGTATTGCTAAAATTTTTAAAAATTCTAGCTAGTTCATTCGAAATGCCTAGGTAATATAATATGCGTGACCAAATCCCTTTTTGTTACCAGCGCTAGTGAGTTTACTAGCTTTATTTTTATCAACCTAATTTTTATTTCATTAATTATTTTGTATAAAACATTACTAGTATACTAAAACATTCAAACACCATGTACGTTTAAGTTATGTATTGAGATTTTGAAAAGCATCTATCTCTTGCATCTATAAAGTGTTGTTTATTAGTTAGATAAATATATAGAATGTATTAGTTTAGCTCTAAAAAAGGATAGGAGATACAAGATGGAAAATTCCGGAAATGCCTATTACGCTATCCGCAGACTCTCGGCCTTTCACTTAATCGGCTTGCCCATATTATTTTGTTGCTACACTTTTGGTTCTCATATGTGTTCATTTCTACACAGGCCCGACTAAAAATAAAATTTATTTTACCGTTACTTCACAAGGTCGGAGAAATAAACGTATGACGCGTAATTGTGTACATGTTTCAGAGATATCACTGTAAATTATTTTTGTAAGCAAGTTCGATCAGTCACAACTCCTGTGAATGCCATTTAATATGTCCAATTTTTCATTAAATCTATACCAGCAATAATGTTTTATGGAAAAATGAGCATTCTTAGTAATCTTATAGATTTGATGCAATATTAAGATAAAATTTTGAATAATAAGTTCAGTTTTGTTTTTAAAATAAATATAAAACATTGATTTACCGTAAAAAAAATTCAGTTTATTTATAACAACAAAATAGTTTTGTTTTTATTTATTTAAGTGATAATTAATACAACAATATCAAATATGATAATGACACCTATGTTTAATTATGTGCCAGAGGAAAGTAAATCGTTACGAACTGGTTCTCAGCGATGCTCTACAGATCGTAAGCGCGGAATTGTGGTTAGCTTATTGCATAAAAATATTATAGCTGGTCGATGAGTCATGACTGGCAACGGAAAAGGTAGGAACCAGTAATTTAATGTGCGTATACTTTGCTTGTCAAGAACATACTTCACACAATTGACACACATATTACTATTGTAATTGATATAATATTAGTAAATACTACAGACTACATTAACTAATACATTTTTATCAAACGTTTGCTTCAAGTCTGTTAATTGTTATGACTTCTAACGCTCATAAACTGATTTTTAAAATAATAGTATGAATAACTTCGATTATTTTTACCAGTCTGATAAGAAATTGCGATATCAAACACCCACGTTTTCAATAGCTGTTCCAAATCTGCGATTATTATTACGTGTACCTACCAGAAAGACGTCATAGCGGTATTTTCAAAATGACGTAAAATGGTCGTCAACTCAATCGATTAAAAGTAATTCATTACCCTTGGCACGGTTATATTGCTAGAAACAAATTAACGTCAATTTAATTTTGTTTTAAATAAAAATAATTACTCTGTTTCAAAAAAAGACTATTCAACGAGTGATCGAGTTATACTGATCATTCATCATATTTCTTTCTTGCATTCTCAATTTTCATAAAAAATTATACGTAAACTATAAAGTATCATATATTTTTATCAAATAAATGATTTAAATGGTTCGCTTTTCTTATAAAAAACGATTTACGATCATAAAATCAAACCTAATACCAGTTTAAATAATATAAGTAAGAAATACTTTTATGCCGACTATTTACAAATACAATAATCAAAAATTATTTGATATATTATTTTTATTGGAAGCCCGAAGAAGTATAACACGCTAACGACTGATACATTGAATATAAATGATATATCACATAAGTAAATAAAAAGGTTATGTTTAAACTAAAATCAGAGACAAGAAGAAGGCAAATAACTTCTCTCGTTTCCTCTCGTCGCCTAACTGTTGGTCTGGGATAATACTGTTATACGCACTCCTTTTTAATCCATCGAAAATTCTTTACAAGTGTTGTGTTACAACGAGGATAAAAAATATTTATTAAGAAAAGAAAAATCGTATACATTGTGGGAATAGTACATAGTGTGATCGAAGCAAACGTGTTTGGCTAAAACACCCCAGATGTTAAAATATCTTTGAAGAAAAAATACCTGACATTTCAGCCAAGGAAGATCAATTATTATTTTTCTCTTATGATGTTCCTAATCCCACCGAATGGAAATAACAAGAGGGTCTGTAAGAGAAGACATTTGTAATAATTCAATAAGATTTGGTTCATAAGACAAATTTAATATGTTGTAAATACAGTTAAATAAAAATAAAAATAGTACGGACAACTAATTATCTGAAATCGTTTCGCCAGTAGACTAAACATACACCACTACAACGAGCACAACAAATCGATTCGTTACTTTCTTAATACTTAATAACCGACATAAAACCTTAAGACTATTTGAGCATAAAAATAATAATTAACTCGATACATCTCGTGTTATAAATACTTGGTATTAATCTTATTAAGACTGACCGATTTCAAAATATATCGCACGCATCTTGTAAACAAGAAAGGACAATTACCATTCATCATCATATGAATACGTAATCATTATTTTTGCAATTTAATATACATATAAAATACATAAACTCGATTATTTAACCTTTTAAAGTAACATATAACATTCGATTTTACAATTAAAGTAAGCACCGATAACTTACCAACTGTTCAGACTATTAAGACATTTTCTCCGATGAGTCCTGTATAATAACAATCATTATTTCGTTATCGTTTTGAGGACATTGGAGCTGTTTATTTTCAAAATTTAGGGTCAATGATCACATGGTGGATATTTATTGTTCGCGAAGATTACTTCAAATGTTTAAGCTGACTATGTGTTTTTATACAGGACACAATCAAACTACCCACTAGAATCCAAACAACAGGGACAGTTCTTCAGTACCATATCGATCTTCGTAGTTTTGTCGGCCACGTATACATAGTCGTCCCAAATTAATAGACAATGAAAAACCATTATTACAAACAACTTATTGTATTTGTATAACAGATGTGTGGATCTATACGCGTTTCTGGATTGGTAGATTAAAAAACAGAAATTGACTTGTCTGTGTTTCTCGTTGCGGCTGCTGTCAAATGAATCGCGGTACCTATACAACTTAACAGAAATTCAAGTCCTGTTGCCAATATTAACGACCGAACAACTCATTGATGACGCTGTCGGTGGCTGCTCAGACAAACGCAGCCTACGGTTTTGTAAATTAATTAGCTCAACGGCGCCAAAACT